CTCTCCTCCTCGTGCGTCGTCTCCTACCACTAGTAGAGAGAGAGAGAGAGAGAGAGAGAGACCCTGTTTCAATCTGATTCCGAATATGGCTGAAACCTTTAAGCTATGATCATCACACATGATGATCATGCAAGAAAGAAAAATAGTGAGCCAACCAGTCTCTACTATCAAAAAGTCCAAAGTATTGCTAAAGTCCAAAGTATTGCTATATAAAAATTTCATTCTAGTCTACATAAATATATTAGCATCTACCATTTATATATGAAAAAATTAACAATGGACAAAGTAACTACATAGGCCACAATACTCTTAAGCCATATAACTAAACTTCTACCAAAAGCCAACATGCAATGAAGGATTCAAAGATATTGTTATGAAATACTACCTATCAAATAGATTATGGAAGTGAAGGTAGTGTCCTATCAATGGATAAATTTCACAAAGGTCAATGAACTTGGAACTTACTCATTATTAATTGCTGCTAATTGATCACATCAACCATTCTCATAAATTGAATATTGTGTAATGCAAGAAGAATTTAATCTTTAACGACCATCAAATTTTGATAAACGTACTGATCCATCATATTCCCTCCAAATAAAAAAAATTACAAAATAAGTTTGCTAGATAGAAAAGGAAGTTGCAGTTACTTCAAGACAGTTTACATGAAGAAAACATTGTTAAAAGCTCACCGAGCTGCCAATCTTGTCCTTTGAGACAAGGTCATCATCCACAAGACTTTGAACCACATCTTTGACGGTTTGGCTTACAACGCCCTTCCTAGGTCCCAACTTCTCTAGTTCTCTAAGCTGACTCAGACAAAACAAACAGGTTTGACAGAAAACACAGTTAAGTAGCAGATGCAAAAAGATACCCAAGCAGGGCAACAAATATTTTGTTAAATATTATAAACCTTGAAAGGAAAGGAAGGAAATCCAAGGAACTCAATTAAGAAGCAAGTAACAGCTTAGTTGTGCCCATCAAAATTATGCATCTATGTGGATAGAAATGCCAACATACAACACAAAAGAAACCCAACATTGAATACATATATTTCTCATTTCTTGGCCACATTTTCATTGAATTGAAGAAATCAGACAAGTCACAAGTCACTATGCTATGTTGGCTATTGACATTACCATAAGCCACAAACAGAGTGCTTGTAAAGACATGCATCTGTGCACAGATGATACCTTGATCTTCTGCGACACAGCCCCCCAAGAAGTGGACATCCTTCTCTTATTCATCAAGTGCTTCTAATGGTCTACAGGCTTCAAAGTAAACTTTAACAAAACAAAGATGACCGAAGTTGCTTTAGACCTCCCAACCACACAGGACCTAAAGAGCCGATGGGGCTGCCAGGCTGAAAGCCTCCCCTCAACCTACCCCGGCCCTCCTGTTTGTGTGGGGAAGCCTAGACACAGTTTGTGGGCTCACTTAATTGATAAGTTGAACTGTGAGTTTGCAGTTTTGAAGGGTCGCTACCTTTCCTCAACAGGGAGAGCAACCCTCATTAAGGAAACTCTCTCCAATGTGACTATATACCAGATGTCACTCTTTCTAATGCCAGCCTCAGTTAGGTCCGGCTCGAGCAACTCATGAGAAACTTCTTATGGGCCAGCGACCAACACAGCCGAGAAAGATTCACTTGATAACCTGGGACAAAGTTTGCTCGCCCCACAGATCAGGGGGACTTGGAAACTGTGGGCTTAAGAATTCCGACATTGCCCTCCTGGGCAAGTGGCGGTGGCGTTATGCCACCCAACTGAACCACCTATGGCAACAGGTGATTTGTCAAAGTACCACATAGACCAAATTTCTTGGTTGCCAGAATGTCGTGCTAATGGGAGATCCTCTGGTATATGGAGGTCGCTTCTGCGCATCCTAAACTGCTTCAGAAGCAACATTCGCTTCCACCCGAGAGCTGGCAATTGGGTGACATCACCATAAGCCATGCTTGAAAGATCTGCTTCTGTGCACAGATGATACCTTGATCTTCTGCGACACAGCCCCCCAAGACGTGGACACCCTTCTCAGGCTTCAAAGTAAACCATAACAAAGCAAAGACGATCGAAGTTGCTTTAGAACTCCCAACCACACAGGAAATAGTGAGTCGATAGGGCTACCAGGCCGAAAGCCTCCCCTCAACCTATGCTGGCCTTCCTCTTTATGTGGGGAAGCCTAGACACAGTTTGTGGGCTCACTTAATTGATAAGTTAGACTGTGAGTTTGCAGATTGGAAGGGTCGCTACCTTTCCTCAGCAGGGAGAGAAATCATCATTAAGGAAACTCTCTACAATGTGCCTATATACCAGATGTCACTCTTTCTGATGCCAGCCTCAGTTAGGTCCGGCTCAAGCAACTCATGAGAAACTTCTTATGGGCCGGCGACCAACACAGCCGAAAGATTCACTAGATACCCTGAGACAAAGTTTGCTCACACTGCAGCTCAGAGGGACTTGGAATCCGTGGGCTTAAGAATTCCAACACTGCCCTCCTGGGCAAGTGGTGGTGGTGTTATGCCACCCAACTGAACCACCTATGGCAACAGGTGATTTGTCAAAGTACCACATAGACCAAATTTCTTGGTTGCCATAATGTCGTGCTAATGGGAGATCCTCTGGTATATGGACGTTGCTTTTGAGCACCCTAAATTGCATCAAAAGCAACATTCGCTTCCACCTGAGAGCTGGCAATCAAGTCAAATTCTGGCTTGATCTTTGGACTGGGCAGACTCCCCTTAAAGATCAATTCCCATCCCTCTTCCTTCTGGCTCGCGACCACCAAGCTACGGTCGCAGACCACTGCACCTCGCAAGGTCCCTCTAGGACCTGGATCCCCAATTTCAGATGCCTTCCTTCAGACTTTGAACTGCAGGAATTTTTAGAACTCTCCTCTCTCCTACACTCAACCTTCTTTCCTTCTTCTCAGAAGAAGGACCTATTTGGAGCCCAGCCCCATCCAGGAAATTCTCAATATCTTCCTTCTACAGGAACCTAATTGAAACCCCTACTTTCCTGCATGCTCATGCTCCCATAGTTGCTAAGGAGTGGTCCTCCTTCGCCCCCCGCCAAGATAAAGGCATTTATGTGGATTGCTCTAGCCGAGAGAGGCCTGACGGTGGACTGATCGCAAAGGAGAGCCTTGCCTATACCCAACCATTACACATGTGTTTGGCAGACGAAGAAACAAACACTCACCACTTCCTTCACCGACCTCTCATGCAAGAACTGTGAAGTACACTGCTCCAACTCTTCAAATGGCAATGGGCCACCCCTTGTTCTGTCCCCCATATCTTTACCTCACTCCACCCCTAGCCCTGGGCCAATCAGGAACTTTGATGTGGAAGGCTGCTACGGCTACCTTACTTTGGCTCCTGTGGATTGGGTGTAATTCTAGGATCGTCTGAGGTAAACATTCCTCCCCCATTGCCCTCTTTGAAAAACTCAAAGCAAAGGTTATCTTTTGGGCCTCAAACCATCCCCTCTTTCAAGGCTTGCGCTCATCGGCTTTCCATCAAGACTGGTAGGATTTGCTCCACCTCAATGAGCATCATATTTCTCATGCCTCCCTTTGGATCCCTCCGGAGCCTGGCTTAGTCAAACTCAACTTTGATGGCTGTTCACTCGGCAACCCAGGGCCAGCCAGAATTGGAGGCCTCTTCTGAAACCATGAAGGAGCTATTCTGGCCACTTTCTCCAAGCATGCAAGCCACACTGACTCTCAAATGGTAGAGGCTTTAGCTCTTCTAGAAGGCCCCAAACTCTTTGATAACAACTGGAGCCTTGGTTTGGTCGTTGAAGGTGACTCACACAATATTATATCCTGAGTATCATGCTCCTCAGAATGCCCCTGGTACTTGTTACCAATTTTGATGAAATTTCCCATATCACTAGGGACCTTCAACTCTTTTGGAATCATGTGTGGAGAGAGAGGAACTCTGATGCTGACTCTCTAGCCAAAGAAGGGGCTTAGACTCAGACCAACAGTGCCTTCCCCCTCCGCTCTCACTTGTTCTCTTCACCTATCTTTTCTTGTTTTCTCCCACCCAAGGTGGTTTTGTACATAGCTCACTGTAATAGGTGGGTCATTTTTTGTGGTAAATAGCTTCCATTCCAGGAAGCAACCTTTTTAATTTCACACATAGTAATGCAATCCAGGTAACCTTCTCACAAAAAAAATAATACAAGGTGGTATATATTATGAGAAGTGGCATGTCTATCGGGATGCACAATGCCCTCAAAGTGCAAAGGTTTGAACTTACTTGTATTTCATTGTTAACTTCCCTATCCATCCAAAAGTTCCTGATAATAGCTGTCATGAAAGTTTTGCTCATAGAGTGAGAGAGAACAATTTTTTAACCCATCCAACTTATTCATGTTGAAAATTTAGAGTTTATGCAATAAAATATAGGAGAAGGCATGCAACCTTAAGAGGGCCTTTACTCATTGGATAAGTTCCAATTTAGTAAAGAAAAACAAGGGGCCAAGTGTGCCACTTTCTTCGGGGGAACACCTTTCACAATATGAAAACAGCATGCCATCTGGGAAAAAAACACTCAAACTAAACATCACACAAACTAGATTATTATATATTGATAAAAAAATAATTTCGTACCAAAATAATCTTTGTAATGATCATTGAAAGTAAGGTAACTACCATTGTCATATGGTCTATTCAATATGAAATAAAATATTGATTGGAAAGCAAATTTTAAGCTTTCAGTGAATACTTGGATGGGAGGAGGAAAATAAAAGCTCATATCAAGGTATCTGTAATGACTATAAAAGGAAACAAAATACAGTATATCTAAGCACGTCTGATGAAGAAATCAAAAATATTGAGCATTACAACTTTCTAACGAGTTCACCTTGATTATATGTGTGTTAAATTAACTCACTATTAGTGGAGAAGTGGAATTAACAAGGGGTTTCAAGGGAATTCTTGCTAAATTTAATCGGTTGGCTCGATATTCTCAACAATAGTCAATTTGTCATAGGTCACCCTTAATGATCCTGGAGAGCATGAGATTGGGATGACTCTTTAAATTGAGCTATTAGTGAAACTCATGTATTTAGGAATTTGCAAATTCTACCAGCAGGCAAACATAATGTCAAACAAGTTAACTAACTTTCATGTATAAGACAGTTGATGGTTACGTGGGACTTACAAACTACCTTCATTTCTATCGCCTCCTTTTAAACATAATTCAAAACGTATTTTATATTTTACTGTATTATAGTCTATTATTCTTAGTAAGGAATTCAAATCATATTTTATATTCTATTGTATTATAGTCTATTATTCTTAGTAAGGACACCATTAATCATAAACCAAGAAAAGAAAAGAATAAAACTAGTCATATGAACCGAGAAAAGCTTCATCTTCTATAGTTATAATATAGTTATTTTTACTATTGTTAAAATTAATTAAGTCGTTACGGAGGGTACTAAAGGGACCGTACACCAAAGGGGG